AGCACCCCCTCCGCCGCTCTTTCTCACGACTACGGCATGCACGACTAGGTACAATAACAGTGATACCACGGTAGCAGGTGGGTATTATTCAATCCATTCCCAGACACTTGACTCCTTTATTCGGACAACCAACCAACCAAAGGCGATGATCATGCCAACACCCAAAGCGCACATGTGTGTCCTGTAAAAGAAGGCAGCTTGTTGTTTGTGGTGCATCTTCCGGGGTAAATTTCTTCTTTTGTTTTGTTGCGACTGACATTAACAAAAGAAAAAAAGTCCTGCACGTCTTTGTTTGGAGGCGCGGGGGACCTTTTTCTGTCGCCCCGGGTTATAGCCCAAGATCGTTTGTGTTTGCATACTTAGCCTTAATTCCATTTCACCACCCAATGAATGGCATCCATTTGACAAGGAAGGTTCGACGCCTCCGAGAGGTTGCAAAGCAACACCGTCCTCGCTGTGGTCCGGTCAGGTGTGGGGCACAGCCCTTTCTTTCGAGGCGAAAATCGCACCAACCACTGCTGGTACGCGCCGACATCTCCCAAAGCCCGCCGCATTCCTTTGAGGGGTGTGGGATTCGGTCGTGCCCGAACTTACCAGGTGCTACATGACGCGACATCCATCCAAGACCTATATTACACAAAAAAAAGCCCAACAAAATGAACATCAACCGCCACGCTACACCACATCTAACACCGATCAAACAAACAGACCTAAATTTAGACAATGGACGGTTCTCACGAGAACAAAGGAAACGACTAAAAAGCTTATTGAGCAACCTAAGACCACAACATAATCTACTCGATGTCCCCCACGACGACCTCATCACAATCGTGGGTGAAGAGAATCCGGCCGCGTGGATGAAACTGCGATTGATGGCGAGGGCACACCACCCAATAGCGCAGATGGCCCATTAGAGGTACATGGTCCAATAGAGGTACATGACCCAATAGAGGCACATGGCCCACTAGAGGTACAACACCCCTGGGGAAGACAAACGACTGACTAGCTTAAAGGTTCCTACAACACTCTTTCTGTCTCCCTCCCGAATAAGGCTTGCTTTCTGCGCGACATTGCCTCGCCAAAAGCGCGCGCGAGAGAGCGAGCGTGGCGGACAAAAAACGACCCTCCCCCCTACTATACCTGCCTACTACCAACCACCGCGGCTACTGGTCCTATGCTAAATACCACACAGAATAGTAGTAGTAGAAATTGTCCCAAGTCTCGGAAAAGATAGACATGGCAACTGTTATTAGGAACGATAGAATAGATCAATTGTTTAATTTCCGGGCCCTAGTTCGTTTTCGTTTGCTAGTACGGCAGGGCATTTGCTACTACCTCTCGTTCATGTTGTCCATTGGACAGGCTATTCTCAAAACAGAGAAGAGATTGTTTCTCGACTTAACAGCAAGGAGGTATCGACCCGAACTCGACCCCCCCTCCCCCGGGCGATACATCTGGTTTGTTGTCACAGCAAACGCCAGGATGATAGTCACCAACTGCGGGCCCATCCTTGTGAAACGTATAGCCTGGGCCGGCGAAAACCCGGCACATCGCTCCTCTGTCCCGGCATGCGAGGCCAATGGTCAACAACAGCACGACTACACCCCGCCCCCCCCCCCCCCGGGGGGGAACGCGTCCAGAACCGGAATCCCCCTTTAAGTGCACCTACTCCCCCCTGAGGGCCCTGCCCCACACCCTCCAGGAACCCTTCCCCACCCCCAAGGTTATTTCGAACGGGACGGGTCGGAAATGAGGGGGGGACCACAAGGGGTCCCCCTCTGAAGTCCTCCTCTCCCCACGCTGCTCCAAGGGAAAAACCCGCGCCGGGGTTAGGGGGGGGGGGGGGGGGGGGCCCCCCCTTATTTGAAAACCCCTACCCCCCCC